AGTCACACACTCATCTAGGTCCTGCTGAGAAGGGATTTTTGCAGATGTAATTTAAGTTCCTATCAATTAGCTTTATCCTGGTGGGCCTGACCTAATCAGTTGGAGGGCTTTGAAAGCAGGACTGAGGCTTTCCTCAGAGTCAGACGAAATTCTACCTGGTGGACGAGAGCTCCAGACTCATGCCTGCCATACACACTCTGGACTTGCGTAGCCATCCCCTCAGTTACACATATCATCCCATTTTTACACACAAACACATACACACACACTCCCTGTATTTTAAGGAGATTATATATATCTATGTATGTACGTATTATATCTCATACTGGTTCTGCTTCTCTGGTTGAATTCTAACACACAGTTTACTTTGTTTATGAGAGCTGACAAATTATTCTATGAGGAGGATGTACGAGAAATGAATTAATTACAGAAACACCACTGTTAGTAACTGTATTTAAGTTAAAATGAAATCTGTGTGCTTAACTCTTCTTGGGGGAACTATAAAATTGCTCCATTCTTACAACTGCAGAAGACTTGGCTTCTTATCTGACCCTACATAGCTTTAGCCCTGGGGGTTCTTAATTTGGGATCTATGATCCCCTGAAATTGTGTGTAAAATTTTTATGAGAACCCATAGCTTGCCCCAGATACTCAATGAAATCCATTTCCTCAAATTAAGAATCACTGTAGCCTATATTAAAAATGATTCTGCTACTTATTCTCAAGTCCCAGTGATTGATTATACCTATGCTATGAATTGATAGTATACTGCCCAGCTGCTTGCCTTGTTCCAAAATACTGCTGACATTACACAGATTTTTTTTTTTTTTTTTCAAGAAGAGGGTCAGGCTACTTGTAATTAGTGAGAGAAATTCAGTTTAAGTCTTCACTTAATAAGTCCATAAATGCATGGTGAGACAATTCACCTAAGAACTCTACACATTAGATATGAGTCTCAAGTCAATAATACCAGTGATGCAGAAAATACAACTTGTCAGCTTAAATTCATACTGAAGCTTTAACAAAATTAAATCATCAATTAGAGAATCCCAAAATAATTATATTGCTAAATATTAACTTCTGTTGTGTGAAGAGAGGTTGGTATTTTATAAATAAAAATCAGTAAGAACAATCAGTCTAAATTCACATTAAGCACTCACATTAGGTCTTTTAACAAATTAAGATTACTACTCATAATATGTAAGAACAAGTTTTTCTTAGTCAGCTTCTTAGCTGTATCCCACAGTTGAACATAAAGCCACCTCCGTTTCCTTTCCTGATCTGCCACGCCTCTTCAGTCCACTGGTCCCATTCTACACAAGTTTTAATAGTTGGATTTCTCCCAGAAAAGCCTTGAGCCTTTTCTCATCCATTCCAGCAGTTTTAAATGTTAATGCATGCAAACTTGCCAATTTTCATTTCTAGCCCAAACTACCTTCTGAACTCTATCCAATTGTCTCTTGATGTCTTTACTGGGATAAGTCACTGGAATCTCAAATTCTTCACGCCCGAGACAAAAATCTTGATCTCTCTAATTGGTAGATCTTCCGGTCTTTCCCATACTTAGAAAAAACAGCATCACCTTCCACCCAGGTGCTCAATTCAGAAACCGCGGCATCAGTCCTGATTCCTCCTTTTCCTTCATGCCCTACATCCTGTCATTGCTTCCTCTCAACTGTGTCTCCAACTGTGTCCACCTCACTTCACCTCAACGCCACCCTTGTAGTGGAAGCCACCACTGTCACTACTAGCATGCTCCTGACCTGCTTCCCACAAAGAAACCAGAGAAATACTTCAAAACTTGAAATGAGATTGTTTCTCCTCTGTTTAAATCTCTCAGGGGCTTCCTAACTCACTCGAGAATGAAATCCCAACATCTTACCAGGGGCAAAAGGCCCTGGTGCGATCCAGGACCTACCCGTCTCCCCCACCACCCACAGTGGTCTTTGAGTTGCTGCCACTCTACGCAAGGCCCTTCCCACCTTAGGCCCGTCTTCCATGCCCACTCCTCTGTGGGATACTTGCCCCTCTCCACAGGGCTGGTTTCTTCTCATCCTCAGGTCTCAGCTTAACTATCGCCTCCTCAGAAGTTCCTTCTGTCATCAAAGGAGATGTCTGTATCCCTACTCCATTATTCTTTATTGTACACCGCTCATCAAAATTCCTATTTCTTTATTTACTATTTAGTACTATACTATGAAGTCTGTGAAGGCAAGGACATTCAGCACCTAATATTGTCCTAGAGCCAACAAATATTTGCTGAATAAATGAGTCACTCTGCAGCAACATTCTTACCTTAATGTTCCACTTCTGTTAGTTTTTCAAATAGTCTATATGTATTTAGAAGTGTTGTTTTATTTTGGTTTTCCTTGATCAAAAAAAAAAAAAAGACACATTTGAATACATTCTCTCTTCAGGTAATTAATGCCAGACTCATTGCCCGACCTCATAACACAGGGCTTTTAGCTACCTTATCAACCACGTAGTGGTTACTTGGTCCTATATCCCTGTGCCCCAAGCCTCTTCTTGATGTGCATACATAATATACCTGCCAGTGTGCGAGTGGTAAGTTTATCATTACTTATTTTCTTAGCATATTTGCTGAAACTGTTTTCTATGCGTCAATGCAACATAAACAATAACGTTCAAATAGAAATGTTTTCAAAACATCTAAAAATAGCTAAGTCGCCTCTCAAGATCAGTCTGGTTAATATAAACATGAACTGAATTAATCTTTCGAAGACAATTATTGCTTCACTTAATTTCTCTGTATTTAATATCTCTTACTCTATGTACAAATGTGTAAGATGGATTTGTACTTACTTTTAATTAAAAAGCAATCTTTCTTTAAAATTCTATTATTAAAATAATCATTTGTTCTGTTTGAAATTTATCTATTAAAAAATTAGGTTAAAAAACCTTATACTTCTAGTTTAGACTAGATCTTTTGTGGTCCCAATTCTGCCACAATCAAGATTTTGGACAAGTCTTAGCTCCTCCGGGCAGCAGTTTTCTCCTCTGTTAAAGAGAGAAAGAAGGAGCAAAGGAGGGAGGGAACGAGGGAGGATGAAAGGAAAAAGACATTGGGCTGAATGATCTCTCAAGTCTCTTTCCACTCAAATTTTGATTCTGTTAAGAAGACCTTGCCTGTAACACACAGAGGTCTGCAGACAGGAGGGTGGCAACAGCTGCCATTGGGAGGGTGACAACGGCTGCCATTGTTGGCTGCTCATTACGTAAGATGCACTATATGAAAAGTTTTATGTGGTTATCTTATTTAACAGACAGATGAACTGATACTTATTATTTTCCCACTTTAAAAGAAAGAAAACAAACTTAAACCCCAAAAACTCAGTCACAGAAGATTTCTTTTTTTCACAGATACTATCCTCAATTGCCAATGGCTTAGGAAAAATGTATGAACTCAGAAAATGCAAATCAAAATAAGACTTTTTAAAAGTATAACTTTTGGGCAAATTACGTGGTATTGGAGGCTCATGCTACATGCTACTGCCGGCAGGACAAAGTGAACGTTTATCCCAACCTGTCGAAAATCACCAGCTGCAGTCTTCTCTTCAGAAGATAGGATTTCAGAACCAGGCAAAGGAATCACATAGGTAATCACTTTCTAAATTCAAGCACAAACCTGAAGTACCTCAAAGAAAGAACAGATAATGCCAATAAAATAAAAGGATAATTCAAAACTAAGTTTTAGACAGGCAAAAGTGATATTTGAATTTAGGAGAATTCTTCCTGCACATTATCCTATATTTAATATTAACATCAGGATAATCAAATAAAATTAAATATAGAACTAAGGAAACAATGTAAAAAAGTCACATTTTTTAAAGTAAAGTGAGAGTTGAACTCAATTTCCTCAGGAAAATCAATGCAAAAATTTAATGAGTTTTACATCACGAATTGTACTGTTTATGAAATATTTGCCAAATTTTGCTCGAGTCTTTTGATTATATGTAGCCTGAATTTTTTCAATTGGTATCAAATACATTTTTTTTTTTTGACTGGTAAAGTGCCATCTTGGTGAAGCCAGTTTCCAGAATTAAGCTTAAATCAACTCATAATGAAAAATCCCTCCATTATGAGCTAAAAGACATCTAACAGCACCCATACCTCAAACAACTGGCTTCAGAAATGGCATTTGAGATACTGAATACAAAGATCACAATTCTATCTTTGTATTTTGTATTTAAAATACTAATATTAAGTGCTTATAACTGAGAAACCACATAAAAAGCTACAGAGCTTGAGGTATAACCAACAAAGAAATTGTTTCATCACCGTACATAACCCGCCTTCACTGTACAGAGATGGGAGCTCTGCCCCACCTTCCTCCACATCTTCCCATGGGGCTGTGCACATATGTGTCCTATGCTGAGAAACATTCCTCCAACTAGCAAAGTATTCTGTGATATCACGTTAGAGAGATACCCTGGGAAACTGTAATGCCTGTTTCCTTCAAACTGCTCCATGATGTAAAATAACACGTAAAGAGCACTGAGCAGAGCGTCTTGGATATAGTTAGTGCTGAGTCAAACAGATATCATCATCAGCAGCAGCAGCATCATCAATTGGGCCACTGAAGAATAATTACTAAATTGGTGGCCTAAACAGTGAATCTACCTCTCAACAATTCCAGTCTTGTTTAAAAAGGCCAAATTATAAATAAATCTGTGACTGTTTTACAAACATATATTAATAGGTGGTTGTAATATATTGAAATTTTCAAGGTTATTTCAGTTTGAGAATTCTGTATTCTTTTAGCTATACCCAAACTGAAACAACTGATAGATTATATGAAAATACTCCAAGTAGGAAGAATATTCTTTATAGTAATATAAGGTTCTATTTTTTTAATGGAAAAAGATTAGGGAAAAAATCTATTTCTGTATAACAAATATAATTTTGCCCATCTACCTTATAAGTATAAAAATAGCACAAGAAATACAGATAAATCTAAATAGAGAGTCCAAAGAAAGATATTTCATAGAAAGTATTTTATCATCAGAACAGTACGGTTTCCTATGTTTAAGATCTATTTATTATGTTATTTTTACAAATAGCAAAGTCCCTCGTTTTTTTCCCAGCTTAATATACATGAATATAGAAAGCTATTGGTTTCCACACTGCCCGCCCCACCTCCACCCGACTGGGTCAACAGAGTTGCAGACCATGGACACCTCCTGAAGGACGCGGTCTACTCCTCAACCCAGTCTTGAGCTCTGGCATGCCAGTCAGTCATCCTCTTGTTGATTTCTCTTCTGTCAAAGGAAACCAAAACTACATTAAAATAGCTCATTCTAACTGGAATATCTGTTCAGCCAAATATTTTTTAGAGGTCTTGGCAAAAGACGTGGGTGAAAATTATCACGGAAAAACATGCCTGAACTCATTCACTGAACCAGTTTATCACTTTGGTTCCACGGCACATTATCCTCAGGTATTTGAATATTTTCTACTCTGTTCCACAAGTACAAACATTCCTACCCAGAAACACACACAAATACAAAAATTCACTTTCCCCCTTGAGTAACCACAGCAGAGATCTGATCTCTTCTTAGTCTTATAATAGCACACATTCATTCTTCAAAATTAGAACTATGAAAATTAGTCAAAAAGCGTGCACATCATAAAAGCATTTTCCTGACACTGTAGTAAGTAAATTATTCCTTCAGCTCACATTACATACTCATTACAAAATGATCTAATTAACTCAGTAATCCTGCTCCCTTAGTTCATAATAATCAAATAAAAGCATAGGTAGTATAAGACTAAAAGGAAATATTAAAGAGTTAATTTAAAAACAAAGATGACTAGCATACTAAGCACACACAGACTTTACCAGTTTAAGAAAATCAATGAGTTTGTGAGCATCTTCCCCAGTGGAGAGGTCCACGAAGTCCTTGGGCAGTCGGTAACTCAGATAGGGACTGGGCTGGACTGTGACCTCGCTGTTTGTGCAACGGAAAGCTGGAGAATCCTTTACAAAGAAACAAAAGGGATATTCTTTGAGAAATATTTTTTAAAGTCTATTTTCTAAACTGAAAAAGATCTATGTTCCCTTCTTTACTAAGTAAGGAAGAAAATAAGACTTAAATAAAAGGCATTTAAAAAACATTTTAAAAAATATTTTAAAATATTAAAAAATATTTCTACATATTCACTAAGACATAAATATAAGTATCTGAAAACAGTGTCCTCAAGGAGAGCTGGGTCGATCCCTAAATGCCACTGGTGTGCAGCCCCCGCGTGCTGCAAGCGAGTCAGGGATCTCCTTAGTCCCGGCCTGGGCCAGAGGCCAAGGCTGCTTATCTCTGGCCTCGAGCGATCTCATACAGGCCGAATGCTTTATACGTATTATCCTTCCTTCAGGTGCACAGTTAGGAAACACTGCCTTAGAGAATCAAGTCCATGGTGAGGGCAAGTCCATGGTGAGGGCAAGCGAGTGCTTGGGATTCCTAACACTTCCTCGCTTCTCTCACGTCACTTAAGGATCTCTCTCATCTCCTATGTAAAACTGCATATTCGAGCATCACACTGAACAAGTCTTCACATTCTTCAATGTACAGGCGACCCTTGAATGGCAAGGGTTAGCAGCACTGGCCTCCTGCGTGGTTGAAAGTCCTCGTGAAACTACAGCTGGCCCTCGGTATACATAGGTCCCAACCACAGAGCTGACCCTCGAACAATGCCGGCTTGAACTGTGTGGGTCAACTGGGAAAAAAATCTGCATAGTAGTGGACCTGCACAGTTCAAACCCATGTTCACGGGTCAGCTGTACTTGCTTAGAGCCTACATATAATGTTGACATCTTGCCTTGTACCAAAAAAGATTTCAGAGACAGAGGGCTTGGGTTTGGACTTTATGGGTGGCAGATATCTAGGTGAGGGATGGATGGGGTCCAGCAGATGGAAACAGAAGGGAAATCTGAACGGAACAGTACCTAGAAAGCAGGCCATATCTTGTGAAAGACAGACTGATCGTCTGACAAATATTTATGAAACACCTACTTTGTGCTGGACCCTGTTCTAGGTATGGGAGATAAAGTGGTAAACAGGACAGGCAGACAACAAAGAAGCAAACAAAGAGATTCACAAGATCATTTCAGACAGTAAAAGATGTAATAAAGACAAAAGAGCGGGGCGCTCTAAGAGGAGAATGGGGCAGACTCCTTTAGACGGGCGGTTAGGTGAGAGCTTGCTAAGGAGGGGAGGCGGCACTGAGAGCTGGAGAGTGTGACGAGAGCAGCTGGTGCGGTCTGGGCAAAGGCGGCCTCGAAGGCAGTGCGGGAACCGGCGCAGAGACGCACGGGCAGGAAGGGCTCTGCGGCCTCGACAAACAGCTGGCCCCGCGTGCAGTGGAAGATGGGCGGGGCTGCCGTCGGGTAAATGGCAGTCAGTTTCTGTTTCCCTCTGCCACCCCCAACCTCCGATATAATGCTGTTTAGATTAAGAGGAAAGAAAGGATTTGGATCATAGAGTGACCCTTGTACAAACTGTTTCTATCCAGTAACCGTGTCCCTCATATTTCAAAATAACTCTGTGCTGAATAATTTACATTCTTCGCCTTGACACTCAGACTTAATGGTCCACAACTGTAAGATAACAGCAGAAGTAAAATTCCCTCACTCACTAATTCAAAGAACATTAAGTGGGCCTGGCAATGTGCTAAGCCCTGCGGATGCACGGAAAACAAGAGATGCTACCCTGTGCTCAGAAGCTTGCAGTCTAAGGGAGGACACACGCAAGTCAACAGGCAGGCACCACGCAGCAGGACAAGTGCCTCAACAGGGAGAAAAATGAACCTGAGTCAGGCCTAAAAAACGGGGCCCAAGAGGGTCCAGGACAGAGTCACGATGAAGAGAAATATTGCAGAGATGGACAAAAGGAAAGGAGTTCACCCTGAAGGCAAGGCGGCCAGAAAGCCAGGGATAAAGCGCGTGTCATGGAAGCCAAGGCAAAAGGCGCTATAAGAACAACAGGGTAACACCTTCACCGTGCCAACCAGCTAAATGAGAGCAGGGCGGCACGCTGTCCGCCGGAATTAGCAACGGGTCAGGGGAGCCCCTGCCAAGAGCAGGAGTGGCAGGGACCGGGGCTAAATGGCCACGGTCTGAGGAGTTGACAGGTGAGAAGCAGCAGGCAGCAAGGCCAGGTGACCATCTAAGGAAGCCGCTGTGACGACATACAACGATGCAGCAGGCACAAAAAAGCAAGTTACGTGACAGCACGAGGGAAACGAGTATGATCCCACTTATGTAAAAATGTGTGCTGGCTGTATCCATACAAAATTTGCCTGGACAAGTATTAACTCAAGTAGCCAGGATGGCTATTTCTAGGTGGTAAGATTTCCAGGCTTGCCTCTTTCCAATTGTTTTATTTTTTTCAATAACCATGTAAAAATAAAACTTTTTTAAAAGGTATAAAACTCTCATAAGATAACACTAAATATTATGAAACACTCAGGATATATAAGTTCATATGTAGTATGATCTCATTTATTTAAAAAGGTTTCCATATATGCAGAAAGGCATGTATTAAAATACGAGCAGTAGGTCTTCAAGGTGGTAGGATAATGGGTGATTTTAGAATTTCCTTTAAAAATGAGCACGTATTACTTTCATAGGTGGGAAAACCTTTACAAAGTTGTTGAAGATTTTGTTTTTAAGAAGGCAGATATCTAAACATGGTTAACTACTGAGAGGTAGGAGTTGGTAGACAGGAAGAGACAAGTTTGGAGGTTCGATGACAACAGAACTGAGTGAATTTTCGCCAGCGGATTCTCTTTTCCTCGGAAGAAGAAAGTGAAATCTTTTTTGGAAAGAAGAAAAGGATGGAGGGTCCGAGGAGCGTAGTGGATAGGTGTGAAATAGCCACCGTGGATGATGGGCAGAAAGCTAACGCGGGAAACAAGACACTGTAAAATAAGGGTCTACTTAAAATTGGGGTCATGACTGTGAAGAGACCCCAGTCTACGTCTGGGCAAGTCCACTCTACTGGTGTCAGCAGCCCGGGGCTAGGATCGAAATAAGCAGACATGGGAATTGACCCCTGGTCAAGAGTCTTCTAGGTGGGCAGGGCAGAGGAGCCAAGAAAAAAAATATCAGTTGACCATTATTTCTTTATGTAAAGCTAAATGGATGAATCTCCATTTCGCCCCTTTTCTGCTCACCTCTACAGACACGAATCTGTTAGTAAATCTGTGTTAGTCTGCACTGCCCATGGGTACCAGTCACTGCCTATCCAAGCACCCAGATAACTGGCAATTATTGAGGGGATTAGAAGGCTTCCCTCATGTCTTTTAAACCATCTTACCTGCTCCAGAGCATCTCCTTCACTAAAATCACCTTTTAAGTTTCTTCCAGATATCAGTTCTTCCCAAGTAAAGAGCAAAGAGTCTGTTACTTCACCAAATGGATTAAAATCGATGAGCCACACCTTCCCCTGGAAGACAAAAAGAAAAATTAATAAACACAGAATAAAAACATTTAAACTCTATACTCTGTCTTATCAGAAAGATCTTCCTATCATTTTACCTAAAAGATAATCTTAAAAAAACATTGTAATTTATTTCAAAAAATAGTTTTACTCCAGGTTTCACTGGAAAAAGAGCGACCTGCACAAGTCAAGTGTCATAGCCTTATCTAAAGGTAAGGTTACCTGTGAATGCAGAGAAGGGACCTAGGAAAAAAAGCCTGACAAAGACATATGTTCTAGGTCCTGCTTCAAACCACATGAGAATTTAAAGCCAAAAATCAAAGCAAGAAAAAGGAAAATCATAACAAGTTACACCACAGTAGCATTACTGGAACGCTTTCAAGGGTGTCTTTGATTATCTTTTGTGATTATTTTTACCCTGCAGAGGCAGGAAAGAGCCAGAAGTTCTGGAGAGCACCATTCCTCACCCCTGAGAGGCTGTTACTGCAAAAGGTGCATTTTTTTAAATGTAATACGTTTGTCTATATGTTAGAGCTTACTAGCACACGAAGGAGAGATCTAAAACCACCATCAACCTTTAAAATAAACTTCTATCTCCTACTCTGAGAGTGGAGGAGGGCAATGTGACAGGCTCCAGGCTCAGAGAGAGAATCCTTCTGATGGCTCAGACTGAGTTTGGTTAGAGTCGGGGGCATCTCAGGATAAAGTGATGGAGCTCTGACATTACAGAGCTGGGGAATCTGTGAAATCCCGCCAAAACACTAAAGCCAACAGACGACCACAGAGACAGGTGTAACATTTAGCAGCTACGTGCTTCCTTCAAATTTTTATCTTTGCTCCTCATGATTTTTCTCATTGAAACATTCATATATAATTGCACCATTTTGTTGTTAATAACTAAGTTTTTCTGTAAATGTGCAGTAATCATGTCTTGATGAGATGTGCGTGTGCAAAGTCACATATGCCTAAGGAACTAGGCCACAGAGCCAGTGTGACTAATATCTAGCACTGTTTCTCATCTGGTTAAATGAAAATTTTAAGGAAGATGAAATATCTTATTAGGACTTGCTTCCAACATCAGAAACATCTAGTAAGTGGCAAAGAACCATTTTAAGAAGTTTGCATCACACTATTTCAGCAAGTTTATTTTATATAATCCCCAAGAGAGATCTTATAGCTCTCTCTTGCCACTTGACTTGGTTCCTCACATCAGCTTGGCATCCACCTGAATATCCTTTGACTATATGAAACAACGTCACCCATCAACTAACTTCTTGGTGTGATGTCAGCTTTGCTTCCAGGGTGATTACTAAGATGTCTTTGACATAATGAATGTTATTTTAATAAAATGGGAATTTTATAGTCCCCCAAACTCTTTCTACTTAATTTTTAAAACCAGTAAAACTATCTCATTATTAAAAGAAAAAAAGTTATTGCACCTGTTAATATAGAAATATTAAGTACTATAAACTAAAAATATGGCATACTGCCAAAAAAAATTGAAAAACAAAAATAGATCACCACTGTTCAGACCAATAGCCGGCAGAGTTTGTTCTATAGTTCAGAAGCCATCCTCTAAGAGAAAAATAAAACCAGCTATACTCAGGCATAAAACTATCAAGATGAGGATTTTTATAGCTATAACATGTGACATCTCAAGCACAAAACATCCTGAGAAATTCTGCTTTTAGGCAATCCATCAGATAAGAAAGGCCCAGTAACCTTCCTGCAATCTACCAGCTGACCACCCCTCACCCGCCAAATAAATCTCTATGTACCAGACACTGTGAGGGAATTGGGGCCTAAAAGCTAGTAACATACAATCTATTCCTTCAAAGACCTCAGCCCAGAACAGGATGTGTGTGTGAGCACGCACGCACGCGCACACACACACACCCAAAAAAGAGAAACAAAAACCATCCAACAATTACAGTACGGAGGGGCAAATGCTTCAATAGAGGTGAGAGCAGGGTATTCCAAGACGCTAGAACATAAGAAGTACCTAAACCTGTATGGTGAAGCTGGAAAAGCTACCCAAAGTAATGGAATTTGAAGATATCAGTGATGATCTGGGAGGAAAAGCTGACCATTTCAGGGAAAACAACAAGAACAGGTGTGACGGCCATGAGATGGCAGCCCACTCTGCGAAGAGGTTGTTTTCTAGAGTGTACTGTACCTGAGGGCCCCAGAATGTGGTGGGCTAAGGGAACTTCAAAAGCCTCCTGTTCCAGACAGGATGAAATTCAGGTTAAAATAACCCCTTTAAATGTATAAATGAGATTACAAGAAAGAAAGGGGATCCCAGGAGACAGAAATGAGGAGGAACCTGTGAAACAGAAAAAGGCATATAAGCTGATGCAGTGGGAACCCCTGGGTGGTCTTCCTCCCGGGCACCTGAGGGCAGGGTTTATTGTGCACACAGGGCCAGGAGTCTGGCCATGAGGAAGGGAGCCAGAACGAAGACGTGACCTTCCGAGGGCGGCTGCCTCAGTAAAGGGAGTATGAGAAAAAGCTCCTAACGACTGGACTAGGAGACAAGGAAGCGTGTCATTCTGTGACTGGGGATTGAGGAACATGGAAGAAGCAAATGAAAAATTTGAAACAGAATCTTTGGGATTCCCACAAATAAAAATACCGAGCTCACTAAGGATGAACTCATGGTAAGATAGACTGGTTTACAAAACCAAAAAGAAATAATCAATGTGAATGAGTCTGCAAATACAACAGCCAGGGGTTAAAGCCCCAAGAACTGAGGAAAATCATCATCAATATGAAAGTTAACATAAAATAAAGATATCAATGTTAAGACAACTGGATAAAAATCTAGAAAAAGATGAAGTTAAATCCATATTGCATACCAGGACAAATGCCAAACAGATCAAAGATTTAAATGTAAAATAATAACTCATAAAAGACCTAGAAAGAAAAACGAGAAGGTATTTTTTAAATTATGACTCAAGTTCGTAAGTCATAAAAGAAATAATATATTTGATCCTCAAAGCAAAAGACTAATAAACTAGGGTAATCCCAAAAGCTAAATCTCTACAATATATTAAGAGCTCCTATATTTTGAAAGAAAATAAGACCAAAAATAGAAAAGATATGAAGCAACAGTTCACAGAAATGAATCTTTAGTACATGAAAAGATCAACTGAATCCTCACTGATAATACAAAAAATAGAAAGTTAAATCATACTGAAACATCATTTTTCATCTACCAAAACAACAAAAAAGCTCGAGAAAGTTTGCCCATATACTCTGCTGACAAGCGTTGAGGAAACATCCAGGTACGCTGCTGGTGGGATTATATGGCATAGCTTCTACAAAGGATAAACTGCAATATGTATCAAAATCAAAATGCATTTAGCCTTTTGGGCTAGCAATCCCACTTCTAGGAATTTATCCTGTAGATATACTTGCACAGCACACATATGAAACAACAAGTACATGGGACGTTCACCACAGCACAGTTTGCAAAAGACGAGAAACAATTTATGTGTTCATTGATGGAGAAGTTACTAAACAAAGTATACAGTGTACCCACATAACAAAAACACTATGCCATTTTAAGAAGTTGAAAAGCTAAGATACTTCGCTTTAAAAAAAAATGCAAAAAAAAAAAAAGCGAAGTGCAGAATGTATATCATATATTAACTTGTGTAAGAAAGGTAGAAAAAAATAAGTATATCGCTTGTTTTCGTATCAAGAAATACTGGAAGGACGTATAAGAAACTAATAAAAGTAAACCTGAAGGAGAGCAGAGAGTCAGGGGTAAGAGCAAGACTTTCCATGTACATTTTCACACTGGTTTAACTTTTGAACGATGTAAATGTATTATCAGTTAAAAACTTAAAAATAACTGCGTAGATTTGCACAGCAGTGTTTTTGCCAGGGGCAAGAGTGCAGGGAGGATCACAAGGGACTTTCAGGGAGTGATGGAGTAGTTCCACACCAACAATTTAGTGGTTACACAACTGGATGTGTTGTCAAAACTCACAGAACTATAGGCTAAAAAGGATGAATTTTACTCTATGTAAATTATATCGCAAAAAATCTAAGCAAAAAAAAAAAAAAAAATCAGTGGTTTTAAATGACTGAAAATATAAAGAAATCAAAACCCTAAGATACAAGATACTATGAAAATAAGGATAGGCAGATTTGAAAATTAACCAAACGGAACCCATAGAAATGAAAAAATACAGCCGATACAATTTAAAGCTTAGTGAATAGGTTAAACATAGCAGATTAGACATAGCTAAAAGAGAACTAGTGAACTGGAAAATATATCTGAGAAAATTACACAACATAATACAGAGACAGAAGTGGAAAATGAGAAGTCAAGAGACATGAGGATAAAGTGAATAGCTCTAACATACCTGTAAATAGAGTTCCCAAAGCAAAAAGACAGAAAAGAAGCAATAATTGAAAAGATAGCTGAGAATTCTCCATAATTAATAAAGAGAATGAATTCTTAGACCTAGACAACATGACCCAAGAAAAGAGAAGAGAAGAAAAGAAGACAAACAATAACAGAACAATGTCTTCAAAATGCTGAGGCAACAGAACTGGTCAACTAAAGATTCTATACCCAGTTAAGCCTGTCATCAAGCATGAGGCTAAACAGAAGCTTTTCCAGCCAAGGGCTGAGAGAACTTACTATAAAAGGATATACTGCTAGAGGAACTGGATCCACAAAGCAGTGAGAGGCAAGAAGCAGTGGTGAGCTAAGAAACTGGACAGCAAGAAATTGTGACTAATTGGGGAGTATAAACACAAAGTGGAACTAAAAATCAGAAATCACATGGAAAACAAACAGGACTGGGAATCAGTGTTCAAAGGCCCTGGTATTGTGAAGGAGCCACAGAAAGTGAAACTTCAAAGCTTATTAAATACCCACATTAAGATTTAATGGTGTCTATGGCCATGCCGCCCTGAACAAGCCCGATCTCGTCTGATCTCAGAAGCTAAGCAGGGTCAGGCCTCGTTAGTACTTGGATGAGAGACCACCTAGGAAAACCAGGTGCTATAGGCGTAAAAAATAAGGGATTGTAAGCTGACAAGGTCCTTGCAATCTGTGAGGTCAACCAAGGGTTGCCTTGCCTAAAACATAATAATAATAAAAAAAGATTTAATGGTAACTACCAAAATAATAAAAATAAAACATAAAACTTTAAAATTATTGGGGTAGGGTGGGGGGAGGAACGAGAGAATAAAGAAAAATCAGTAATGTAAAAGAAGAAAAAAGCATACAAAAGCAAAGCAAATTGAAACTCAGAATGGTGGAAAACATTAAATATCAAATATAATAAATACAAACTACATGGTTAAATCAGAAATTGTCAGTGATTAAAAAAACAAAACCAGTAATATGCTACTTCAAAGATACACACACACCTAAAACCTAACAGCTAAGAAGAAAAAAACTGAAAAAGATAAATTCTAAGACCAAAAGAAAACTGTACCAACACTATCCATTTGAGACAAAATGTACTTTAATGCCAAAAGCACAAAAGCATTATTAGAGACAGAGAGGGGGTCACTGCCAGAGGTTGACAATTCACTGGGGAAACAGAATCATGATGAACTATAGCACTGGTGGAAAGACATAACCTCAGAGTATAACACAAAGATAGAATTAGAAAGCAGATGTTAACATAACCCTATTCAGTAATTGATAAGTAAACAAAAAGATAGAAAAGACATAGATTTTTTTTTAAGGTTTTAAAGTTTTTAAAAAGATTTTTATATGGAAAAGATTAAACACATACAAAAGTAGACAAAATAGTATGAAAAACCCCATGTATCCAACATGCAATTTCAATAGTTATCTTGTTGATCTCCATGGTCAACCTTGTTTTACCTATATCGCACCCATTCCCTCCAAATCTGTATTATTTTGAAGATATTCTCAGTTTATTTCATTCATAAGCTATAGAAGATTTTAACAAGATTATTAATGAGCTTAATCGAACAAACATTTGCAGAATACTTGATGCACAGAAATTATGCTTTTCTTTTTCAATCTCACACAGATCAGTTATAAAAAAGTGATCAAGTTGCAAAGCCAATCTCAACATTATCAAAGAGTCAAGATCAGACATATTCAGTCTATAAAGCAATAATAATAGCAAAACAGTAACCATAACCAAAAAGAATGCATAAGGGTGGACCAGAACAAGTTTTCAAGTTTCTAAGGCAAGTATTCTAAATTCTACTGATGCATTAGCATCACTTAAAGAGCTTCTTACAGTACATATTCCCAGGCCTCGGCCCACAACTACTGAATGGATGGGCCATCGCTTTATATATATGACATTAGAATATATCAACACTGAGTCAACTTGCCAGCCTTAGTAAGAAAGAACAAACATCGAAATGTTGCCAAACCCAAATATATTCAGTCATTTCATAAATGCTATGTAAGAGACCACCATAAAAGGAGTTAGGTTTCTCTAAGAACAGTCCTAAAATTATATATTTGAGAAAGCGCCTAAGAAATGGTCCTCCATATATCACCAACTAAATGCAAATGAGTTTTACATAATAGTTTAAATCTCTTCTCAGAAACTGTCAGGGTGTTTATACTGGCATGTTACTCACTTTAAAAACATGCAACGACTTTCAGCTGTGGAAGATCACAGCCGTGATTATGCATACATCCAACTTCACTTAAGATGTGCAGACCTGGACATTTGCCAGGGAACTGTTATGAGACCCTAGCAAATTCTAAATTTTCAAATGCTATTAAATATAATTGCATTAAAATATAATTGCTTCAGTTTTAATATATGTAAAATGGGAACCAATAATACATACCTCACAGGGGCATATGGATTAAGTGAGATACTGAATTAAATGAGAATAAAGCTTTTCTGAGCTGCACATTCAGGGCAAAGGGCGAGGTCCACTAAGTGCTTTGCTCAGCTTATTACGAAGCCAGTTCCCTGCAGTGTTTCAGTCTTCAAGATAAGCTCCTCGAGGTGGGGAGACGGTCTTGTTGAAAGCTTCTTGTGAGGAGCATGGCATCTCACACACCACAGGCTCTCTACAGACACTAGCTGCCTGAGTGCTGAGATGTGGCCAGCGTCTGCGCGTCAGAAGCAGAGCAGTGACTAGAGCCCTGGGCTTCTGTCCATCGGCTCGGGTTTCTATCCATTCCATTACACTGGCTTCCCATCCTTCTTCTAAGGTTTGTTTCCACTAAGTTGAAACTGGGCTAAGTAACATCCCTCTTGTTCACCAAATCTCAATTTACAACTAACTCCTCTTTCTAATCCTTAATAGATACGTTGGCCTTGCAGTCAGAGAGGTGAAAACTGAGATAGTGATATCTTTTAGCTTAACAGAGGTAAAGAAACAGTTAACGGTTATTTAGAGACATGACCAATAGGGCCAAATCCTTTTGTCCAAAAAAATGATTAAAAGGTATCACAAGCATCATTACAATGAGGCCGATGGGATGAGAAATATGTGGGTAACATTTGGGAACATATGGGCCACGAATGCGGAAAACACACCTGCTGTCTTCTTAACATTTAAGTCAGTGAGCACTAATCACGGGACGTGCAGTGACCCAAATTTCTTTGAAAAGGCTCCATGTCTTGAGAGTAAAACCTCTGCAGTAGGATTTATTAAGTCGGGATTTTGCTTGCTTTTTCATTGTTTTCATCACTTTTAAGATTTAAAGATAAATATATACTACTCTAATCCTCATCTTCAGCTTAAAGATAAAAGTGACTCGAATGATGCTAAGCATCTTTTAGTTGACTAAAAATAATTATTTAAATATCAAGTGACAAATTCCTGGCCACATTTAAGTGTGCAAACTGAACGATTTTAAGCAGGCCCAGACCCTGACAAAAGTGGGAAGGACATAAGGCAGCCATTGGCCATCTGCTAAATTAATGATCCCTAAACCTGTGATACATCATTATTAAAGATATTATACCTCCTAATGTTGAGTATATTTTAATGGTACATTCCTGACCATGGAATTTCAAACACTTGAGCTGGTTTGAGAAAATATTTTTTGAGCATTGGGTCCTTTACATACATAATGGCTATGTATTCCACTTCAGACCAGCCCTGATTTTAAAGCATAATCAAATACAGTTTCTACTTACCCTACTGTCTCTATATATATCGAATACAACTGTAAAAAAGAAAAAAAAAACTCAAAGTTAATAACTCCTACTTTCATAATCTGAGCCTCTTCTTAAAAATTAAAATGCCTTTTATTATTAGTTATTCCAACAGCAGACTATAGTTGACCTTGAGTACTTCATGCCTCTAAATCTCAAAACTTCAGTCATGAAGATGCATCTTGCAATGTTTTATTTATATAATTCTGTTTTCCTTTGTTCTGCCTTCAGCCATTATCCCTTATATTTAAAAACTCAAACCAAACACTGAGATCATCTCACCAGTTCTCCATTATAAACAGGTTCAATGTACTAGGGAAAGCACCAATCATTTATTTGATGGAGAATGAAATGAATAAAATGTGCAGCAGGAAATTTTATCAAGCTATGCTATGGCATGATTAATCTGTTGTTGTTGTTGGTGGTTGTTATTTTTAAATCAAATCTGCAAGTAGAAAAATTGTAAATCATAGCAGATATAATTTTAAGATGCATGAAAACTCTCTCTCATACATCATATAATTTCAATTCTTAAAAACAACTCACAAATGTTTTAATTGATGCTAACTAAACATTCAAATAAAAAATCTAGACTCTGGTAAATCAGTCATTCAGTTAATTCAATCCTAATAACAGAAGCATTTCGTCCTCTGTAAGTAGACATTTTAAAATGTATAATAAATTATCTAAAATGGCAGGAGGGAGAACTGTCTCAGTATTAAAAAGGGACTCTGATTAAATAAGGTAAAATTAACATGTAAACTGTCAGCAATACCAAATAGTAACAGAGTAAAAATGGTTAAAATACTATTCCTTTTTTAAAATATGTACCACTGTGAAGTAAGATTCATTAACATTACGAATTTCATTTCATTTTACTGAGTCAATAAAAAACACTCACAGTCTTCATCCAGGAATTTATATTGTATGTGTTTCTTGAAGAAGTCTTGTATGCATCTGCAAATCTCTTCTTTTTGTTTAGAAATATGATCGTAGTATTGTGTGTAGTCCCTTTGAGAAATACCTGAGAAAACATTTTATGTTCTGCTATTATATAATATTGTTTTCAAAAACACCAAAATGTGATTTAAATCTCCTCTTGAGAGAACCATTAAAGTAGATCAGAAACCCAATCAGATGAACACTAATTGCATTATACGTTAGTCAGCATCTTATATAGATATAAAACTCTTAAGTTATAAAGGTTCATGTGGATAAGTGAATCCTTAAGTTACATATTGCCATGCACTCTCACTTAGAAATAGTAGTTACTTTTATTTAGTATAAGGAAGGATCTGAAATCATAAAAATGCTTATAATGTAAAATGAAAGAAGCAATTTTAAACCTGCATATAGTCAATTGCTTTTCAGTGAATTTTCCAATGAACTCTCTACAAATTGGTATTCTTTTGCACTTTCTTTGGGAAAATATGAATAGTCCTCATCACGTCTTCCATAGTCATGTTTCATTTCACAGAGGCAGTCTATTTTTCTTGTTCATACATGCTACCCTGCCTTCACAAGACCGATGTTTCAGGCCATGGAAAAGTAAACATTCCTTTCTTCACAGTGACTTGCTGATATTATTCTAAATACACGAAAGGGACTTACTGCAATGACTCCCTCAATTTGCTCTAGGCCTAGGAGAAAGTTCTCTGTCCTGAAAGGATGGCTTCCATCCAATTCCTTAATCACAGGCCATGTGACGCCCTTCTTTAGCTGTACTTACAGTGTGGCTTTTTCAGGACTATCTAACAATCCGATAAATTCAAACACCCCAGGTCTTTTAGGTAAAGTAATAATGTCAAGGTCAAATCACATTTCTCTTGGTTGAAGATAATTTTTATTTCATGGAAAACATATATAGACAAAAAAAGAGCAAATTATCTTCAATATTTAACTTGAATACATCAAAGCAAACAAAATAATAACCTGAGAAGAAAATGGGTAGCTTTTAAAGTGGTACACTTATCTGTCTACGTCATTTTCTCTTGCTAGAATAATAAGCACTGCTCCAATAATAGAAATAAAGGTTTAAAAACTTGGCTTCTCATGATGCTTAAAAGTAGTATATAGTTAGTAACACTTAAGACTAAGTTTCAAAGAGGAAGCAGGTAATATTAGACACATTCTAAACTAGGAAAGATAAAGACCTTCATTTTTCATCTCCAGAATCCATAGAGACATGATGAATTGACAATACTGTATTCTGTGGAAACTGAATATGGCCTCAGGATCCTTGTAAATAAATGAAGCATTTCACAGAGTCAGTTCCAACTGGTTAGAGGAAGCATCTGATATAAAAACTGATTGTTACCTGTGTCCTAATTACTAGAAATTTCCTTCCATCGAAAGCTTGTCTTCTTTTAACAATTACTTTCAAGAGTTAAAAAAAAACAAAACTCACCAATAAGCTTATTTTCCTTGACAAAACATCGGAACTCAGCCCCGGGAATTAATTCACACCATTTTCGAAGAACAAGCTGTAGAAAAGGGAAAAATGTGACACAGCTATATAACAAGAGAATATTTACTAGTCTAATAGACAATTTTATGTGACTATGTCTTAACAATTGCCATTTACCAAATGGTTTAAAAAAAGACACCACAAAACATCCTGATATGAGATGTAGAAAATAGAGTTGGAATCTATTAGTCTAATAAGTAGGAAAAATGTGTTAAAACTATGATAAAATGCATCTTTGTCATTTCTTTAAATCATTTTGCGAGTCCCAACATGATATAGATCCTCAAGGACGATAAAGTCAAATCTTAACGCTGCTGTGCTATAAGTTGCCCTGTGATTCATATGTTCTTGACTCTTTTAAAAATACAATATTTTCAAATGATCTACCGTAAGCACCATTCTGTAATACATACTCTGATAAAATTATTATTATGGCTTGTCACAAAGTATCACTATAACCTGTCTATGAAGTTCCCATTATTTTAAAGTAAACCATCAGAGGCCCGAGTTATAAATGGGTCTTATTACTGTAATTACTTAGTATACTATTCATACACTATTGAATTGCTGAGATTTTATAAATAGCATGGTTGACAAATGTATGCCTCTGAGTATTTTTTTTCAATGTTCATTGGAAAAATCTACTCCTGTTCTTTGGAAGTATGAACTGTAATAAATGGCTAGTGCCTCCAGCCTCCCTTATGCTGGCACACCGCTCTTTGCCCTTCAAGACCTGTGAGCTGGAGCCACTCTGAATCCCCCACTGGGTTACGTAGCCTCCCTTCCCACATCCTGTGCTGCCCGCAGTTCCCTGCCCATGACATTCTATAGTAAACGCACATATACCATAGTGCACTACAATAATTTGATATGTCTCTGTTGCCTACTAAACAATAACTTGCCTAAGGGCAAGGAATTGGGTCTTATTTGCCTCCGTGTTCCAGCATAAGTACATAATAGATAACAGGTGCTTAAGAAATGTTTGTCAAGTAAAATAGCAAATATGTAAAATAAGTGGCCACTAAAAATCATGATATAAAAGAATATTTAATGAACTGGGAAAGTGCTCACACTATGCTATAAATGGGAAAAAACAGTATACAAAGTACTTTATATAGAGTGTGTGTATATGTACACACACACACATATCTCAAGAAAGGGAGTTAAAGACCCAAATGCTAATATTGAGGATATATCTAGGTGGTAGGTTCCTCATATTTTCTTGCATTTTTACATTCTGACAATAAGTTGCTTTTCTTTTCAAAACTGTACTATCAAAATATGCCTCAGAAATTTTAAATGCACTGATTTCAATTTTCGTCAGTGTGTTCAAATTTTTTAAAATAACCTAATTATTAAATGGTGAACTCCAAACCAAAATATTATACTGTTCTTATCTTTTAATAGCTGATACTGGCATGCATATATATTTTGTATGGCTACTGTAATTTTTATTTAAGCAAAAAAAAAAATAATACTAATATTAAATTTTTAGAAAATTTGTATAATCTTTATTGAAATGTTTTAGAGAAGTACTATATACATTGTGGTTGACTACAAAATACAAAAGGATAAAAGGTGACTCTTCCCCCATCCAATCCCTTTGATCCTCTCCTCAAAGGCAATCAATGCTGCTAATTTCTTGTATATCTTTCTAGAAATATTCTATAAATATATGAACATATAGTTTGTGTGTATATATATGTAAATATATACAGACAAGAACACACAATACATAGGATTCTGCTTGTAACTTTTTTCATCTTAATTTCTCTACAAATATCACTTTCCTAGGTTTTTAAAACTGAGTTTTAAACCCTATACACTAACATGTTGATGGGATAATCCTCAAAAAGCAATATAAGAGCAAACTGCTGGTGAAATAAATCTTGGGGGTAAATAATGACATCTCTATAAAGATTATGCCTCAGGGTAAGGCTAGAGAAATAATCTTTTTCACTTTTGTGTTTCCAGCACAAAGTAATACGACATAGCAGGAGCTTAATAGATGTTTGTTCAGAAAAACAACAGATAAGATTATACACATGTATAAACTTATACATACACATAAATAATGTTATAAAAATGTTTAATCACCTGAGGAAATGCTCATTTTATGCTATTAAGTAAAAAAAGCCCTCACGAACGGTATGTAAAAAATCTCAATTACAAACGCTTAAAGATCTAGTAATTGTTTGGTAGCCTGGAAAACAGTAAATTAACTGTCTCATATATGGTATAATTGCAGAAGATACGCCAATAAATACATTCTACACACTAAAAATTACTTGATACACTGAGTCAGTGGACAAATTTTGAAAGCATATGTGTATACAAAGGTGACTAGAAGCAAGAAGACAAAGAAGAAAATTTATAAAAGATCATTGTACTAATTCTAAATGGTAGTATAAATCCAAGAATGTAAATGTTTTGCAACTATGGAGCAAGGATGGCCATCCTCTCTTCAACAAATTAGGAGCTCTCAAAGTTTTCAAAAGTACTGCATTTTGACAAAGCAAGTACAAGAAGAACCAGGAGTAGTGATAAGCTACATCAGGGATGTAGTTGAAACCTAGAATCAACATTTAAAAGAAAAGTGCGTTCCAGACTCATTTCTAACAGTTGAGGAGCAGTTAAGTTGTACCCAGGAACACTGTCCATTTCGGCGGGGGGGAGGTGGTTGTGGTAGTGGTGGTGGTGGTGTGTGTGTGTGTGTGTATGATTTGATGTAAACCTTCAAACTAGCAAAGTGTGGAATAAAAATTTCGGTTTGCTATGCTTACTTCTAATAAAGTCTTTCACTAACTTATTATTCTTATATCTGCATGTAATTTGTAAAATGAGTGAACGACATTAAAAAAATAAAAAGGTCCACTGGGCTTAAATACAAAATGGTGATGACTAATCTTCCTGTATACCAGGTTACCAAACCTCAACCAGGTTAAACTGGGTGGTGAGTATAAAGGTGTTTGTTTTAAAACAAAATATGTATATTCTGTAGTATAGTCAGCCCTCTGTATTTGCAGGTTCTTCATCCACAGACTCAATCAAATGTGGATCAATAATGTTCCCCCCAAAATGTTACATTTTTACTGACGTGTACTATATATTTAGGCCTGGGATGTTTTGGGTCTGTACTGAACATGGACACTTTTTTCCCTGTCATTATTCCCTAAACAGCACAGTATGACAACTATTTATATAGCATTTAGTATATATGCTGCCGAAGTGAGCACTATTTATACAGCATTTACATTACATTAGATATCATAAATAATCTAGAGATGATTAAAGTATATGGGAGGTTATGCGTAAGTTATATGCAAATAGTAAGCCACTGTGTAGGACTTAAACATCTATGGATTTTGGTATCTGTGGGGGGTCCTGGAACCAATCCCCCACGGATACCAAGGGACAACTGTATGTAATATAGTGTATGTACAGTATATATTTTTTTCTATATAAATCTGTAATACATATTTTTATATTTATACTTCATAAATTTTAAAATTCAATGACCCCAGATTCCTGGAGAAATTAATCCAAAAAAAATCACTCATTTCACTTAAGAATAGCAATTTTCAATACATCTTCATCCAGGAGTATCAACTTCATTAAGATTTAAAAAAAAAAAAAAAGTTTCTTACCTCATATTCCATACAAGGGTCTGGGGAGTCATCAGTACAATGGATAAATCTTTGAGGGGACAAAAAAAAAAAAGGCAATTCAATATTTTTATACTGGTGTCAGTTTACGCACACACATTACTTACATTAACGTGAGATTAAGCTCACGGAAACAGGAGACTAATTTGACTTGAGTGAACATGTATTAAGCACTACTGGATGTTGGGCACGACCTTGGGCTCCCTGAAGTGTTGTCGGTCCTTAAACCATGTGAGCTACTATAATCTCTATTTTTCTATCAAACAAGAAACTGAGAAACAGAAAAGACCAAATTTAGTGACCAAGGAAGGACTATAACTCCAAGTGTCTAACAGCAGATTCCGAAGGAAGCCGGGATGGAACTGCCAATTTTCAATTCTCATTGTGTTCTTCTTTATGGCTGAACCAGACATCTCCGCAGACATCAACTCTGCCATCTAAAGCCAGATGGAGTTAATCTAATTCTTATCCCACATGCCACGTAAAGTATTTGATAGAATTATTCATTCCTCCATTAAGTATATTGCTTCTTCTCCTTTTAAAAATCCTGTTTCATGAACAATTTTTCATATCATTTATTAAATGTCTACCTATGCCAAGGCCTGGCTAAGCACTGGGAATGCTAAATGATTAAGAGTCCTTGTCCTTGAGGTTAGTCTAGTGATGAAAGCCTAACAAGCAGATGAAGAATTTAAAAACATTGGAAACAAAAATATTCAGATAGCACGAAGGAAGAACTGATTAGCTCTGCTGTGGCCGAGGAGGGGCGGGATGGTCAAGAAGCTTCACTCAACAGGAAGAGAGGGGTCTGCGTTTAAGGCAAAGGAACGCGTGTGCTAAGGCAGGGAGGGAAGCCACAACTGTCACACGGAATCACAGAAGTACCGGAGATCAGAACTGACAGATCAGAATGCAAGGGGAGAACTGCCAAAAGGAGTTTGGAGAGAAATTTTGGACAAGGAGTCTCCAGATCACAAACATGTGAGGGAGACTGTTCCATTTAGGCTTTGGCAACAGCACAAGACAGCTTGGGGGACGAGTGGCAAAGTGAGAAGCAGAGAGGCCAGCTGGAAGGCTTGTTAAAACACTCCTGGCAGAGGTGAGTGCCTAAGGTGGTGCAAATGCACAGGGAGAGGACAAGCACAACGAGAAGGTGTTTCGGAGGCAGTCAGTACTGCTTGGGGACTGACTGAAACTGAGGGATGAGGGGGAGAGTCCACAATGACTCTGGGTGTCTGGATTTGATGACTCGCTGGATGGTGGTGGCAAAGCCACTCACTAAGGCAGAGGAAAAGCGGGTAACATTGCGTGAGGAAAAGATGAGAGACAATTATATTTGAGTGTGCAGAGTCGGAAACATCCTGGGAGAACCACATAGAGATGTCTAGTAACCAACCGGAAACTCAGAACACAGGGAGGCGCTGAAGATAATTATTAGGAAGTAATCATCATATGAGTATAAGAGCTAAAGTCAGAAAAGCAGAAGTCCTCAGAAATGAGAACTTTAAACCCCCACAAATAGCCGCAAGCCTGTAGGCTCAATAGGTATCACTGCTAAAAAAGAAGAAGAAGATCTACCATTAACCAAATCCTACTTCCATACTGTAGTAACATGGATTTTCCAAAAGAACAATTTGCAAAACTTCTGTTTTTACACATTCAAGCACACACTGGTGCTATTTTAAGACCTCATTTTTCTCTGGAATGTAAAAATCCCTTGCTTCAAATCAAACTAATTTAAAGGTATGTTATCCTGAGGAGTTATAATCTAAAACCACAAAACTAGCTTTTAATTTACTTAAAAAATTTTTAAATAAAAATTAATCTCATAGATTGTTTTATGTTAATCAAAATTAAGGTTTTGAACTGTTAGGTTAGTGAAAATTAACATAATTATTTTTATCCTTTAAAAAAAAAATCCTTTCCCTCAGGAATAGCAGATTGATAAGCATTAAGCATATTTCTGGAGTTCTCTGCTATACATTTTCTATCATTTAAGAAAACTATGTTTGGATACATAGCCTGTACAGAGACAAGTGGAACATCCTGGATTTCTACTTCTATATAAAGGAGAGGAGGAAAATGTTCCAACAAATATAAAAAAACAATGGGCAGAGAATTAAAAAAAAAAAAAAAAATAGGCCCTTGAGCTCTATACTAGCATCATATAATCTCAGAAAAGGCCGGATCTTAGCTGCCCCCGCAGTTAACTGGTAGATGGAATTAGGTGATTTCTGAAGTTTCCTGTGCAAACTTGTACACAGCTTGCCAGGCCTTCTTTCCTTCCCTTTCTGTCTTTGTTTTTAGTCAACCACCTGAATTGCACATTGAACCTCAGGATGTTTCAGAGCTTCTAGAACACAAGTTTGAAAATGAGTATACATTAGAATGGACCTGAGTTTTTTCAAAATATATTCCAAATGGAGACCAGACATATACATGGTGGAAAAGGTGACTCTGAGGAGTGTCCCCGGTCCTAAAACTGTAAGAGGTTTTGGGGAAAACGGACGTGAGATGCCTGTTGGCCTGCTCTAGGCCTCTTCAGTAGATCTGTACTATTCTTGGGGAAATGAAGAAGCAAGGAAAAGGGAGATGTATCTGGTCTGAGCAGCTGGAAGCCCAAGCATGGCCTTCAAACCAACGGTTTCAGCTAGAAACAGTCAGTCAGGCTCACCTACAGTCACCACAGTATTCAGCAATTTTGCAGCTACTACAAAGTGGCCACTTTGAATAAAACCTCCAAATCTGTGGCTAATTTAGACGGATTCGAAATCCTTGATCATTTCAAAAGATTCCCTCATCTCTCTCTTTCTATTTTAAAAGCCTGAACATTTTAATTAGTAAAAATGCTAATTATTTTACAAATTCCATTATAAAAGTTCATGTTAGCCTTAAAACATTTTCCCTCAACCTCTGTTTAAATTCCAAATGAAAACTATTAAAAATCTATACCATATTTTCAAGGATAAAACATTTGGTGAAAGAATTTTTCATAAGAGAAAAAAATGTTCACAATATAGTATACTTTTAAACAATAAAAAGGTCACAGAACTATACACATTACAGTTTCATTTTTAAAACATACAAGGAAAAACCTAACACAGTAAGTAGATTTAATAATGGTTCTTCTCCAGCAGTGACTGTTAATTCTGCTGCTTATCTGTAGCACTGCCAACACTGTACTTATCAAATCAAATACATATTACTTTTATTTTGAGGAACTTAAAATATATCACGTTTAAATTTGAGGAAGCTAAAAATGCATAAAAGTACACAGGGCATATATGTTACTTTTGTAACAAGCTAATTCAAATTTACTTTAAAAGTTAATATTTTAGCTTCCAATTAACCAATAGTTCATTATCACGATAAAATTGAAGTAACTGCCTATCCTTTCTTAATTTAAATGTATCTAACAGATACAAAAGAGCTGGAAGGAGAAAAATGACAAAGGAATTCAAATACAAAAAATAATACAGCACTATCTTAATGGTTGATGTAGTAACAGAACTACTACCATTTTCATTTTTGAAATGTGATTTTTAACTACGTGGGAGCCATATTTTTTGCAAATCTGATAGTAGAGGGAAGTTCTTATTAACATAGTATTCTATGAAAAACAAGATAAAGGTTCTTTAACTATTTTAAAAATAGTACAGGAAAATCAAAACTAATGATTCTAAAACATAGGTCTCCATTATCCAATTTCTTTAATGTTTCTATATTCCTACAAATATTGATTTCGATCTTTGGCTGTTACTTTAAAATAGATATACATTTCAATCCTCTTATTGCTATTTTAAAATAGATAAACATTTCAATACATATTTGCATTCTACTGTCTTCTAACACTTTTTAAGTGTTGACTGGTTTAACATTTAACGTTATTTTAAAAACTTGACTCGTTTCAGAAGGTAGAAGTGAGAACGTATGTGGCATGAGAGATTACTGTACACAGCTTTTTCGTACTAAGACGACTAACCAGATGGTCAAGTATCATTCCTGAAAGAGGAGGAGAGCCACCTAGTAAAGACTGCATATAAAGGTCAACCATGATGTCTTTGGGAGCTCAGTCGAAATACTGCAAAGAGCGTTGTGTATTTACATTCTGGAAGTAGTTTTAAAAAGCAAAAATGAGTGAGATAGAGTATGAACAACATTTAAATTTTTATAATACTTATATAAACTAATGGTCCTAAAATTCCAGGTTAGACCAAAAAAAAAAAAAAATCCTTAAACCATGTCTACTTACTACATTGAGAATACTTGTGGAAACAAAACTAGCAGAAAATGTGAGTATCCTAATGGAAACAAAGAAATCTCTTCATCATAAGGAATTTTAAAACATTTGTATCAGTTCCTTCAGTGACTGAACCAAGAACAAAGATGATCCAAAAAAAGTCCCTCTGAAAAGGAGAAAAAAAACTGATTCTCTCATTTCCAAAAATAGTATTTTCAGAATTGTCAAAAGAAAGCAGTATCACAGAGACATAACAGCAAGTCATCAATGAAAGAAAGAAATTTACAGAGAAAGAGTACAGGGTTGTTAAATCTATGCTAGCTTTTGTTTTTATGCACACATAAGTAAAAAGTCATGGAAAGTTAGGACACATTTTCAAATTCCAACTCAGTATATAATATAAAATTCTAATACGTTATAAATTTATCAGTAAAAATACATGACAATTAACACTTCCCTTGTTTTAACTCAACAAATAAGTTTGGAAAATTTGTTTGATTCATAAAATAATATGAAATCACTTGAGATCACCTTGGAATTTGGGCAGCTGTTAGAATATTTCTAAAGTTATAACCAAAAATTAGTCTAGATCCTAGATTCATAAGTTTCCTATATAAATGAGAAGCAATATAGACATCAGCTCTATATCCATCTCCATCCTCCAATGCCTCAGGCACTTCCCAGCAGAGACAGAACTTCATGAAACAATATTTCTGTTGAAAAATCTGCTGACAGTCTTTTTGCTGTTTCCTTCCACATAATTTGCCTTTTCTCTCTGGTTGTTTTCTATT